TGCTAATGGGCACCCCAGATAATCCCCTGGATTCCACATAATCCTCCTTCTCCTCAGTGTGTAGCAGCAACTCAATTTCCCTTTGAAAATTGAGATCAATCACTCCAACCAGTGAAGCAACTTCTTATTTTTGGTCTGTTGTTTTAGTGACACAAACAGCCTCAAATGACCAGGTGGCAATGTTCTCTTCAAATTCAGTGAAACTGTTGTGTCTCCTGATGAAAGCATTCTCCCTCTTGGCTGCAAAGACCTCCAAATTAGCAAAGCTCAAAGTTTCCATTGGATTTGGCAGTTCCATCACTGATAACAGTAAAGAGAATCATTTCACGGGAGTAGTGGGAACAGAAACCAGATTACAAGAGGGTTTACGATGAAGAGAAGGCAAGGCAGGGAAGCCAGTAAGTGAATGCAGCCCACTCTTTCAAAAGAAAAGCTATGAAATTAAGCAGAGGAGAGCTCTGTAAAGCACTTAGAAGAGGACACAGTATTTTGAGAGGAATTTTTAAGATGAGGAAAACTTACACATCTTATAAAATTCAAGTGGAAATTCTATGTAAAAAGAAATTGAAGGAAGAGATGAGTAAACAAGATCCCAAAAGGGATGGGATCAATATACTCAAAGCATTGGGATCTCTGCCTCAGTCTCTGAGCCCAAAGAAGTGGGTAGGGCTGTGATGGGAGAAAATAAAGGCAAATCTGTAGGAGGTGGAACAGGAAGTTGAGCTGGTTACCTTCCCCCAGTTTAATTTTCAGATTACAAAGCAAAGCCTTTTGATGAAAGAACTGAGTTGGTAGAGCGGGAAGATTGAAGAAAATGCACAATTTTGAAAAGAACAATAGTGGAAAATAGAGAGGGACAAGGGATAGAGAAATCTAATCTTGTTGTCTATAAATCATGACTCAAATTTTACTTCCTCCTTGATGTGTGCTCTGCCTCTTCAACTGATAGTAAATAAAAGATTAGTAACATCTCTATATAGCAATTAAAAACAGAGGTTTCTCTTTAAGCTCCTATCCTATAACTCTTATATAGCACTTGTCATTTTCTGCTATGTAGTTTTTTTCCTTTCTAGAATCCACTGTAACTCTTTAATGTATTAGATTTTTGTATCCCTCATAAGCATCTACTAGAGTGTGTAGCTCATTAACACAGTGTTTCAATAACTAATGGTTGTACAACAAACCACGCCCTACTAATGGAGTAAAGTAACAACCTTTTGTAATTATTCTCTCTCATGGTTCTGGGGATAACTAAGTGGTTCTCACTTGGGGGTCTCTCCTGAGGTTGCAGTCAGGAAACATCTGGAGGCTCCTGCCTGCACATCTCTGGAGTGTGATGTTGGCTCCTGGTGGGACCTCAGCCAGGGGGCTGCCCTCCGCAATACACATATGTGACTTCTCCATGCGGCTTGGGCTTCCTCAGGGGACAGTGGCTGGGTTCCGAGAGCAAGTGTCCTAGAAAAGAGCTGGGCAGGTGCTATAATCCTTTTTATGATCTCTGAAGTCATGCAGTAGTATTCTGTAACATTATATTTATTAGAATTAAGTCACTAAGGCCAGCCCATATTCAAGAGGTGGGGAGTTTAGACTCCATGTCTTGATGAGAGGAGTGTCAAGGGATTTGAAGATACTACACATATAAATGCTAATTAGTTGCTTGTTTTAAGCATTTATTGTATTTTGAAAAAGCCCCAGAAAGAAAGAGAATGAGAGTGGTGCACAGTCTTACAAGGTCTGAATAGAAGTCAGGAATAATGCTGAAGAGTCAATTAACCCATAAAAGATGCTAACCATGGCTGCTTATTTCACTAGTGTTTGTAATCTTCTTTTACAATCTCTTTTTAGGAGATAAAATTGAGCTGTTTGGTCTAGAAAGTGTAGTAGGTCAGTGCTTCTGCTACTTTATGGGCACACAAACTCCTGGGGATCTTGTTAAAATGCAAGATTTTAACAATGTGATGCCAGGGGCATCACATTCTGCATTTCTAGGAAGCTACAAGGGAAGATACTGCAGCTCCATGGGCCACCCATTGAACAGCAAGTTAGCAGAAAGTAATACGGGTAACTGCCTGGCTCCTGTGATCCCACCCTTCTCTGGGAGGAGCGCTAATGGGGTATGCCACCAGAGGTCCTTATGGGCTTACAAGACCTTAGCCCTCTGGCCTGTGAACTCGTGATGCCAAGAAGGTTAATCTGTTCTTCCACAAGACTTGTAGAACTGGAATTAAAGGAAGAGAGTAATTTACCTCTCTCTTGTGGTAGAAGCACGGAATATGAGGCTCTATCCATCATGTCAGAAAGCCAGTTTCCAGGAGGAATAAAGGGAACACACAGAGAGAAGAGAATCCAGGTGACACTCCAGTGCCTGATGAGGCTCAGACCTGACCCCACTCTGAAAGATTATACAAAATATCCTAATATTGTTCCGGCAAATTCCCCTCTTGGCCTAAATTTGTTCTACTTGGGTTTTTATCATTTGAAACTAAAAAAGCTCTAACAAAGGGTAGGGAAAGTAGGGGATATGTTCTCTTGGAAATGTAATGCTCACTGTTTTGCAGTACTAGATGATTATCCAGACGTCTGCAATCTGAGGGTGAGGAAAGACTGTCCCTTAAGTCATGTTAAAGGTGTGTTCCCAACAGAGTGTACTGAATATGAAAGAAGACGACAATGGAACACTAAGGCCGAGGGAAGATGAGAAAAGTCTCAACCTACCTAAAATAGGAAAAACATCTGGAAAAGGGAGGCAAAGAGAGTCTATGGATTAAAATCGTTGGGTAGTATCGAAAGAAACTGTTACCCAAAAGTGATGCCTGCTGAAAACAGATGGGAAAAGGACAGTCTAGGAATAGCAAAGCTAATATTCTCTAAAGAGTGACCAGACCCTGGGCCTGAGTGGAAGTTAAAAGCAAGATAGTTCTGCCCAGCAAAGAACAAAACATTGACTTTTCATATATGTTGGACATTGTGTGATTTGCTTTACATTTATGACCTTATTAAATGACCCCCTAAGAAAGTTTCGCTCATGTCCGTCCCTGAAACTCTAGCACAGTCACAGCTGGCACTCCCACAGTCGAAAGAGAGGAAACCGAATGTGGATCATATCATGTGGTTCCCACCTGGCAGACCCTATGACTGGGTATGCCTCAGCAGGCAAATCTCAGAGTCCTCCGAAGTCTCAGAGACTGCAAGCTGTGCAGGTGACACAAGAATGACACGGCCACCTTTCCATGTTTGGAGTAAATTTTTAATAACCAGTTTCTTGGTTACAACTTCATCTATATAAATCCCCTTATTCTAGGATCTACACAGTTAAACCTAATATTTCACAGCACATTTCTAAAACAGTACATTCTTTACACTAAAAAAATAAAATAAAATAAAAGCCCGGTTACCACCAAGGTGTATTGTCCATGAATTGAAAGGCTTTCCTATTTAAGTAGCAGGTACATGTGTAAATAGGGCAGGCAGCAACAGAACAGCAATATTGGAGAACGCTTTCTTTGTAGTAAATGCCCTTGAGTATGAGATGTGACAATGAAGCAATAAGGCCAATTCTATAAAGCAAAAATGGATACTGATCTCCTTATTTTGTAGCCATACCTTATGGTATGTTTATAACGTATTTCTTTCACATGTTAAAACAGTATCTACTAAAGATGGGCTTAATTTTGGTAAAGTGAACTGAAAAAAGTTATATGTTAATGCAACATTTGTTGTAAAGATTCCAGAAACGCAGGAGTCAAAAATTCAAATTATGATTCCCACAGTAACTCTAACTCTGGTATACAACATACATAATGGAAGAAATGTTATCAACATATACCATAGTAGAAAATACTCAGTAAGCAGAAACAAGCTGAGTTATGCTTGCTGTGGGAATCATCATTCTCAACTAGCTGGGAATATATAAAAATCGAAACCATAAATGCATGCATTATTTTTTGCAGTTAATTCTAATTTTTCTTGATCCAATTTAATCAGCTTTGTATCCAAACTACATTTTCCCTTCACAAACTGCAAATGAATGTCTTTCGTAATTTTAAAATCCACATCATTTGATTTCTTTTTCTCACACAGGCTGCCTTTTGCAGGATGGCATCATTACACCCTGTCCCTCCCTGAAATGTCAGGACACATCTGCTGGGATTCATTTATCTACATTCCTTTTCTCTCTGAAGGACACCATGGGGAAGGAGAAAAAGAACAGCAAAGAGAACAAGAATCACATTGAGTAGCTTAGAAAGGTACATAAGTGCAACAGAAACAGGGACACTGTCACCATTAACTTCCCCTATGGTATCCTCCTGAGCTGACACAAGAACAATGCCACCATATATTTACAATTTCCAAAGTGTTTAGTCAAAATATTATCTCATCTGATTCTCACCACAACACTGTGAGAAAGGCAAAACCAAAACACCTTTCTGTTGTTCAGCTTTTGTGACTCAAGTAGAATATATTTAAAGATTTGTTTTTATGTTATCGTCTAAAGTGTAGGCCATTTAATTGCAATGACAATATTTCCCAAATATACTCATCTACCACATGCAGAGGATTTAGTTATTATGAAGGCAGAGTATGGTCTATGTAAAAAGATTATGGTTATAAGTGAAACATTTAACATATTTTAAGCTTCTGGCTTTAACTATATTCTAAAGATTCAACAATGAAACAGAGGAATAACTGCCCTTTGAAATTCTGCCGAGGCAAAATTTATCCTGAATATTTTATCCAGTATTACTTTTCCCAGTTTGGTTTTAACTAAGAAGGGCACCTTCTGTAACCTCTAAAGACGAATCCTTTTACTTTCTAGCAGTCTTTATCCATCAGAGTATGTTTCATTATATTCAAACTAAATTACTATGGCTCAAGAACAATCATAGTTCCTTTACCACCCTAAATAGCTCCGCCTCCCCATAGTGTCCATGACCTTAGATGAGTGTCTGGAGGGTAACATGGTCAATCTGTGTGTGTCTCAGTGCTACTGTGATCAGTCTATTCAATTGCAAGTTTATTTTCCCTTCTTTTCACCTACAGAAAGATCCTTAACATAATCAGACAAAATTTTCCTTCCTCATTTATATAAGATACCAATAAAAAGATCAATTAAAATAAAGATTCAGAACTGGCAAAAAGCCTCAATATCATTTGTTCTAACTAGGGAGATAACACAGTCAATCCTTTGCCTGTGAAAAGTATGACAACCTTGCATGCAATTAAAAGGTAATATTTTAAGTGCAAAAGGAAAAACAAATCTTAAGGAATATTTTAGGAGGTTTTCTTGTAGAGGAAGAGTTGTCTTCTTAATGTTACCTACAATCATAAACAAAATTATAAAACAGATCTTTGCACTGAATAAAGATGGACACATAAGTTCTTGCATAAAACAGGTAAGACACTTGAAGGTATCCCCCCAGACATAAATGCTGAACTTTTAGGCTTTTCCTCCACTCATATGCAAAAGTTTGAAAAGAAAAAACAGTATCAGGGCTTGGTCATAGCACAGCCTCAATATTATTTCCAAGCTAAAATGTCAGTGATGGAGATGTGAGCTCTTGCATCTTATCAGAGACCAGAAAAAGGCCTTACTGCCTTATAGGATACATCAGCCAGACATGAAGGCTAGGCCATAAGCATACATTTTCTTCGCAGGTCCATCCACTTTATGGGATTTTTTCTCAGGGAAAGTATAGATACAGACAGTGGGCAAGGTTTACCTTAAACAGAATGAAATAAAGTCCTTGTTGGCTCTCTCTTTCAAGGTGGAAAATGAAAAGGAGGTGACCAATTCTAGAAGATCACAGAACGCTTACAAATGAAAAATAATGGGGTATGTTTCTCTTGAGCAGTCAATAAGTGAAATTATCAAAGGTCTAAAATTTCCCAAATAAACTGACAACATATAAGGTCCTGGAGACTGTCAGTGCCATAGATCAAAAAACCAATTTTTCATCTTTGCTTTTAATTAAAGTTGCAGGATTCCATGAGTGAACAGCAGTAAAATATTAATACATTAAAGAATAAACCAAAGGAAAATGTTTGGTGCAATGTAAGTGGTCAAACAATAGAAGACTGTGAAATGAATTAAATATTCATACAGTGGATACTATGCAGTTATTCACAATGTATTTTTGAGAGGGAAAAGGTTGATAATACATTGTAAGATGAAAAAAGATATTACAAAATAGTATATTCCATATGATCTCCATATTGGGAAAAAAATATGTGCATAAGTCAAAAGATTGGGAGGATATACAGAAAATAATTAACCAAAGTTACCTCTGTTAGTGAGAATTTAACGTCTTCACAATTTTTTTCTTTTCCAAATGAAAAGGGGATAAGGGGAAATTACTATTTTCAAAAACAATCAATGTACTCTGATCTTTTTTATAATACACAAAATACAAAACTGGAATATATTTTGTGCCATCACACAATTGTATTAACAATTATTTTTCTTTAAGTTATAAAATTAATAGTTGATTCAAATTTAGTTTCCTTATACTTATTTCCAATTCACACACGAGAAACACATTTTTAAAAATATATAATGACATAAATTATTATCCAAGGTTGCAGTCTTCCATGCTTTCTTCACTCATCATCAAATCTAAAAAATGAACTTCATATGCTTAATTCCGTAAGTTTTGAAGAAAACCATGATAATAAGTGCCCATAATCCCAGAATAAAGCCCCCAGGAGGATGCCAGTCTTTCAGCTTTGGTTTCTGCAAAACAAGAATAACATGATAAATTTTATAACAGGTAAATAATTCAGCAATCAATAAAGCAAATATTGATGAAAAAGAGAAATTTCACTGGCTGTGTTTGAAGGGGGACTAGTTTAGTCAAATTAAGTATATTGGGATATCAACAATGGTAAAGACTTCAGACAGGGTAAATATCCCACAGGGTAAACTGGCTCCTAAGAAAGATCAGTTTCAGCTTATATTTTGTTTCATCAAAGAGTCCTTCCCTGATTACCTAATCATACCATCTATCCTCACTCAAGTTATTCAGTAGCCTAACAGTCTTTCTCACTTTGGATTTATATATTCATTAATTTGTTGGTTTTATCCATCTCTGCTACACTGTAGTTCCATGAGGGTCATCTTATTATATTCCCAGCACCAACCTGCCACAGTGCTTGCCATTCAAGAGGCATTCACGTATCATACTGAGTAAATCAGTGGAAGAACAAACACTACCCAACTCCATCAGATATTCAACACACACTTGTTTGAGGGCCAGTGCCTTGGGTCATGCTTTTCCCTTGAAGTAGAATGCTCCGTAACCTATTCACTGTGCCTATTCAAAACTCACTAAGTCAAATGCCTCCTCCAGACTCTACCATTATTCCCACCTGATATGTTATTTTCTTTGAGTTCCTATAGTACCTGAACTGTAACTCCTTCTACTGTTACTCCTATTCACTATTATATTTACCTTTATCATTTATCTCCCTGTATACTCCCTAATATCAAAGTCCATCGAAGTCAATTTTTTATCACCCTTCTCTATTCCCCACCCCCAAGTGTCACATATGCTTTTCTGTCCAGCAAGAAAAGTCTTCCTCATTTAGTTGTCATTTCAACAGCTACATTACAGCCTTGTAATTGGAAGTTTGTGACAATGACTCTTTTCTACTTACTGAATTACCGGCCAAGACTGTAACAACAGTTATGATATTAGAAGCATATTTTAGACCATCGGGGAGAGAAATGGTAAGCTAAAATTGGCTTTAGTCATCATATAATGTTCATCAACTCAAAATTAACTTTTCAAACTAAAAGGAGAGAAAGCTACCTCAATATTTTAACTTGGATCATAATGCTAGAGTTTTCAGAGCTTTTAATCAGATGCTTAATATAAACTGACCTACCAGTGTTTAAAGTGGTTACCTTCCATCTTCATTCCTATGCTTACCCTCAACCTCTACCAGTCCATCCAGAAAACTCCCCCAAAATTTATCCCAAAATATTAAATCCAATTTTCCTCATGTTATTTTCCACTTAAGAGTCTGCAGTGGCTTCCACTCAACATGTGTAATGATAAACGCAAAAGGTCCTTGCCCTCTAGTATCTTACAAGATGGTAAGTTCGGGGGTTCTCAAACCATTTGTAATGGCAAAGCTCTTTGAAGTTACAGTGCTTTCTGTGCAATACCGTGACAAATCTTAATTCCAGTAGAAAATCTAGAATATTTAATAAAAAGCAAAGCTATATTAAACATAAGCTATATAAATATCACAAGCATGTGTCAGTGAAAAAATAAGTGAGTGAACTAAACAAGATCACTGCTCAGTTTTTGTCCTGTTTATTTTCTACTAGTCAAACAATTTGTAATTCACACAAAAGGGTTGAAAACATTTAAGATCTAAAACTACTTTTCCACATACCGGGAAAAGATTATTCATTATTAGTGGAAGCACACTTTTATACAATCTATAGATATTCCCTGAAAGCCCAGTTTAAAAGCACTGACCTAGTTTGAGAGATAAGATACTGATTTTCCCTAACAACTAGGAGTCCCTGATTTATATGGCATTTTAAAACACTCACACTTAGGTTACTACTGTAGAAAAGTTAAATACATATTGTCAAAATCTGGCACCAATGTAAACTCTTAACTAAGGAGAACAGGCTATAGACAATTGTTCCATAAATCCAATTAATGAACTTCAGTGCTAAAAGAGTTAAGAAGGCATTTAAACCAACTCATGTTTTTCAAAAAATGGTGAACATCATTTAAGATCTACATTCATTAGAGATTACAGAAATAATAATCAAGTAGTAGCAAATCTTTTTTTTTCTTAATTATACTTTAAGTTCTAGGGTGCACAACATGCAGGTTTGTTATATATGTATACTTGTGCCATGTTGGTGTGCTGCACCCATCAACTCGTCAGCACCCATCAACTCGTCATTTACATCAGGTATAACTCCCAATGCAAACCCTCCCACCTCCCCCCTCCCCATAATAGGCCCCGGTGTGTAATGTTCCCCTTCCCGAGTCCAAGTGATCTCATTGTTCAGTTCCTACCTATGACTGAGAACATGCGGTGTTTGGTTTTCTGTTCTTGTGATAGTTTGCTGAGAATGATGGTTTCCAGCTGCATCCATGTCCCTACAAAGGACACAAACTCATCCCTTTTTATGGCTGCATGGTATTCCATGGTGTATATGTGCCACATTTTCTTAATCCAGTCTGTCACTGATGGACATTTGGGTTGATTCCAAGTCTTTGCTATTGTGAATAGTGCCGCAATGAACATACGTGTGCATGTGTCTTTATAGTAGCATGATTTATAATCCTTTGGGTATATACCCAGTAATGGGATGGCTGGGTCATATGATACTTCTAGATCCTTGAGGAATCGCCATACTGTTTTCCATAATGGTTGAACTAGTTTACAGTCCCATCAACAGTGTAAAAGTGTTCCTATTTCTCCACATCCTCTCGAGCACCTGTTGTTTCCTGACTTTTGAATGATTGCCATTCTAACTGGTGTGAGATGGTATCTCATTGTGGTTCTGATTTGCATTTCTCTGATGGCCAGAGATGACAAGCATTTTTTCATGTGTCTGTTGGCTGTATGCATGTCTTCTTTTGAGAAATGTCTGTTCATATCCCTTGCCCACTTTTTGATGGGGTTGTTTGTTTTTTTCTTGTAAATTTGTTTGAGTTCTTTATAGGTTCTGGATATTAGCCCTTTGTCAGATGAGTAGACTGCAAAAATTTTCTCCCATTCTGTAGGTTGCCTGTTCACTCTGATGGTAGTTTCTTTTGCTGTGCAGAAGCTCTTTAGTTTAATTAGATCCCATTTGTCAATTTGGGCTTTAATTCTGCAGCTGTAATAACTCCAGTGACTTTCCAGTGAAATGGATTTCTTGAGGTTGTAATTTTACTATCAGATCTTAAACTTAGCAGCCAGAAACAGTTGCCAGAGATAAGACAACTACAGAAAAAATAGCATCTTTGAAAGTATCATTTTTCCAAAGATTCAACAACTAGCCCTGGCAGCTGTTTTGACCCATTATTCCACAGGCTGGCTTGGAGAATTCTGGAGGCACTTCATTCTGGTCTTTCAACCTCCTTGACAGGTATGTGTTTCACATCTAGACCACTGATGGCCAGGGTAGGAACAAAGAGAAAATCAAAGTGCTATTTCTCCAACAGCAAACTTTAAAAGTAATAATGGAGGACTAAGAATTATATGTAATTTCTCCAAAATTATAATGGAACGGTAAACTTATTCACATGATAACACTGCACCAGCTACCAAAAACAGCAAATCTTGGCCTTTCAAAACTGCTCTTTACAGTTGCTATGTTTTTTTAATGTTTATTCAATACCTTTTATTGATTAATAAAAATGGAAAATGCATTATGAACTAAATGCACTTTAGACTCAGCTTAAGATGGTATCTGAATAGAATCCCCTAGTACAGTCTCTCCCACCTTCTCACAACAATCCATACAAAGGCACAGAAAAAGACAACAGCACATCCTACCAAAATTCAGTTAACCTCTGATGAGAAATCTCTAACAGTTTCACTATCTGAAAGTCCCAGAAACCAGCACTAAAAACAAATTAATGGTAGTCTCAGTTTTCTGTTTGGTAGATACCATGCAAAGGCTTGCTTTGCTCTGTGAAACACAATACTTCTGCCAGCTGCGTAAAGGACTTTAGCTCACTCCCTTTTTCCGCCTGCTGTTTAACAGACACAGTGCTTATGCAGTAGAAAGATGGCTTTATGAGGCAGCCAGAGTTGTGTAACTCATTCCCAGTTCCCAGTGGCACACCTCTTTATATGTCCATTTAAATATAATTCCCAGCAAACAATATGACAAAAGGATAGAGGGGCAGTGACAATGGTTCACTGCTTCTTGGAAGGCTTAGTATCACAGGAAAAGCTCTGCAGAGACCAGAAAATGCAGGGAAAACCCTGTTAGTAGTACACGTTTTAAAAATATGTTTTTTTCCATATACTTTAACGTTTTTTAAGTGCCCCCAAAAACAAGCTTAAGTGGCTGGGTAGCAGATGATCCTAGTTTAATTCAGCAAAGCCACATTTAGACTGGTCTAAGTAACGGTCACTTGGAACCATATAACAACCTATTCCTCAGATACAGATTTGAGAAGGCATTTAAACCTAAGTGGATAGTGAAAACCATCCACACACTCTGTTGACAAATACCAACAGTGTCCAAATACAAAGGAAAAACCGAGGTGGGCTCTATGAGGAAAAATACTCCCAAACATGAGAAATAAATTATAACCTGAAGATGCATGCAGAGAAGATCTCTCTGAGAAAAATTTAATAATGAACCACAAATTAATTTTAGACAATTTTTGTCTGGCATAGATTTGAATAAAGATTCACAACCAACCAAAAATGAAAGAACAATATAAAGAAAAAAAGAATACACAACAGAAAGACAACAAGCTGAAATAAAGGGAGCTGGATGACATAATTTTGTAACAGCAAAATTAAAATCCACATTTACAAGGAACATGGTATTCTAAGCACATCTTCAAGTCCTTCATTCATCCAATTGTATGTTAGATTGATGGCAAACATGGCCCTAATTATTCATACTTGGATGTGTTCATACCCTCTGCAATGCGACTTTATAGAAGCTGTCATCAAAAGGTAGAATCTATATCCCTACCCTTTGAATCAGCAGGTCTTACGACTTCTTTTGGCCAACAAAATGCAAAACAA